TGTTGTCGGCCATCATTCTTTTCTAATTGTTGCCGTTGTCGGCCATCATTCTTTTCTAATTGTTGCTGTTGTCGGCCATCATTCTTTTTTAATTGTTGTCGCATTATTACTGATGTCGGCCATTATAGTTTTTTGATAGATGTATAGTAATCAGTGATTTATTTTATTAATTTTTTAATTCCACAGGATGTTATTTTAAGAACACAGTTCCATGCATTAGGCGAGTTAATAACTTTTTTATTTTTTAATGCATATCTGGCCTTTACATGCCTTTATATGTATTGATTTTGTTTACGTTAATTATGTTTCTAATACTATTGTCCCTTCACAGTCCAAATACTCTGAATCATCTCCACAAGAAATCAACAGTTTACCAGGCGTATAGTACTGAACACACGGTTTTGGGTGTCATTCGTCATTCCTGATTGTATTACTTCACCCTCCTTGTCTTTTTGGGTAAGATCACAGTAACCTTTTTAGTTTATGCAAAACAAACATTTGTTAGAAGCTGCATTTATTTAGGATATGGAAAAGATAAAGTAATTTTTGACCTTGGCTAATTTTGTGAGGACAAATAACATTACAAAATCTAATTCTATAACCATATGATCAAAAAATATTTTGTATTTTCCAACATATTAACGGTAAAGTGGCGCTGTAGTATTAAAGGATGATTTGGAAGGAAATTTTAAAACTGCTAGGCAATCTCTTATTTTCTACGTAACATATTTCTCTAAAGAAATACAAAAACCGATTAAATCATACAGGAATTTATTTAATAGTTTAATTACACATTTTCTTGCAAATTTGCAATATACATAACAAATTGGTGCAAATTACCAATCAATTACAGTAAAAGGGAAGGGCATCCACCTATATAAATAATTACCAATTGTTAACTCAAAAAGTTATAAACTGTTACTGTTACACTAATAATCTTTTAAAGGCTTTAAATTGTTTAAGTGAATTTAATAGTAAATGATGTATTTGTTTTTCCATTTCCTTAACTTCAGTTTTTATAAAGAGTACAGTACCATTGCAAGTATAAAACAATTACATCCTAGTTTCTGTCTCCAAACAGTAAAGTTTTTTTTTGCAGCAAATTACCATTTATAATCAAATATGGAAGCAGATTGCTTTTTAAAAAATGCTGAATTGTTACAGATATATTCAAGATATTTGCAACATTAATATAGTTATAGTGGCATTCATACAAATATTCTATTTATCTGTTGTTTTCAAATTACCTTCTTCAAAGTTAAGGTACATGCGAATAATCAAAATTAACTTCATTGATATAAACAAAACACCTATGTTTCTCCATTTCTTTCCACTTTTTTAACAAACAAGCTGCTTCCTCATTAAGTACAATATGATCAGAAACAGGGGTGGATGTTATCAATGTTTCTCTACAATACCTACATTTATATCCTAAGTGTATGTTCATATGGTCCATGAGATTAGACATCTTTAAAAACTTTCTATTACACACACCACATTGGTACGATTGATTGTTACTTGGAGATTCTTCACCGCAGGTCTTCTTTAAAGAAAGATATGTCACATCAACTTCATTTTCTCTTAGAGGATCTGTTGAAGAAAAGCTCTTAGCATTTTAAAGACAAAAGTCTTGTATATTTAAAGGACGACTCACCCACTACGCTTGTTAGTTTTTCTATTATTTCATCAGAAGATTCTAAAGAGATGTCTTGCAAATGATGGTCTTTTGTCCTCTTAAGACGCTTAATTACCGAATCGCCTTGATCTAAATTATTAATGGAACGTTTAAGTTTATTTCCCTTTTGTTCCATTCTCACGTAACAAACCAATACTTGATACTAGAGCTTTGTTCACAGTATTCTCTACGACACCAACGTTGTAAATCTCTACAATATATAATTTGAACGTAAAACTCAAACTAAACAGATTCAATATGATAAAAATGCTTAAAAATCTTTAAAATGCGTTGTTTAGTTGTTTTTATGATTAACGACAATTGTCAAAAAAGTTTGGTTAAGGACGCTGTTCAACTGTGGCTACATAACCGTATGCTGTATGACTACGTAACAGTCTGAAACAAACTTTTTTATATTTATTTCTGTATGTAGAATTTAATTTTGTCTGTGAATTTAATTATTTTAATTTGTAATATGAATCGATCGGTTATTGGCAAAGTTAAATTCATATTGTGCCCCATCGCACACAAATACACTCGTGCTCGCTACACTGCCCCCTTAAGGATGTTTCGTCCCGAAACATTTTCACTTATCGTTTCGCAAGATCATGGCGGAATCTGCAGTTCTCGTCTTCACGACATCCACTCCGGGAATAGAAGTAACAGTCCACGGTCTTCTCATGATTGGTCCGATTCGGGTTATTACTGCAAACCAAAATGTCTATTCCAGTACGACGGAACAGGACATTGATCATGTTCCGTACGATCCTCCAATCTAGGTTGCCCAGTCCACAACCAAGCTTCGGAATCGCCAGCTTTTATAGGTTATTCTCCAAAAGACGGCCGCAGAGTTCCATTACTGCGTCCCAAAGGTCTCTATAAGTTGGGTTATCAGACTATCTTCCTTTAGTTACTAGGTAATAGATATTGCGTTGTCCGTCAGGCAGGCACAACAGTCTTATTCCCTTCTGTACTTGGTCTTCAGGATGTTCCAAACCACCAAATCTGCGTTTGAACTCGGTCGCGATACCACGGTTCATTCTGAGATCGTTTGAGACGCAATGGGTCAGAGAATATTCCTTAGATATAGCAAAGAGGTCTCGTCGGATTTCTCGCGTCACTCCAAATCTTATGTTAACATGGAGGCCTTCCTTCATGAACTCTTCGAATGTGGGCTCGGAAGGAATAGTTCTTAATAATCTGGCCCGCGCCTCCTCTTCATTTGCACCGGGGAATGGGGCCAAGCGATTAAAATGGACTACCTTCGGCTTCCCATTTGGAGTTTTCTTAATTCGGCAGATCACGTCGTTAATCCTCTTCACTATCTCAAGGGGCCACCGACATTGTATTGATGCATTGGCGCCCTTGGCCTTTTCTGTGGTCCATTACTCGCGGGTGGTACAGTTCTCACACCAATTCTTGACATCTTCCTTACAGTTCACCCAATAAAATCGCCCTCAAACTTTCCCAAGCGTCTTATCTACTCCAAAATGGTCACCACACCTCTCTAACCTTCTTTCGAGGAATAACCAGTTGCTTCCTATCTTCCTCTCCATCTGAACTTTCAACAACACGCTTCAGGATGCCATCCTCCAAAACCATTGAGCCCCACTGAGCCCATAACGATTTTACTACTTGGGTACAGGAAGAAATTTGCTGCCACGTTGGTCGTTTTCCGTTTCTTTTCCATTCTATCACTTTCTTCAAGTCCGGGTCGCTTTCTTCGTCGTTTTTTATATAGTCAGGTAACCTTTCCTCATCGATTACCGTGATGCGTCGAATTGCCCCTTCATTCTGTTCCATTCGATCACACTGCTTGCAGTCTGTTTGACAAGATTTTCTGGAAAGTGCATCGGCATTCTTGTGTCCGATTCCAGGCCGGTGCTCTACGTCAAAACATATTCCTGTAGCTTCTCAATTCATCAAGCTACCTGACCCTCCAGATTCTTGAAATTCAGAAGCCACTTTAAAGCTGCATGATCGGTGCGCAGGGTGAATTTTCGTCCATATAGGTACTTATAAAAATGTTCTACACCTTTGACTACAGCCACCATCTCTCGTCTAGTGACGCAGTAGTTTAATTCGGCTTTTGATAAGGTCTTGCTAAAATAGCCGATTACCTTCTCTTGGCCATCTTGTAACTGCGAAAGAACGGCTCCCATTCCCCCATTGCTTTTCTATAGATCCGTTTAACAGTTTCGTTCCCCAATGCACGAGCCAATGCATCAGCTGGCGTCGGGCGTCGTAGGTCGGTCAAGGCGTATTCGTTGTTGAATGTCACTGTCCCGTAAGTCCATCAGTAATAGCCAACCTTTCCATCAATTCTTCTGGAATATAAGGATTGGCCAGTCGAGACAGTCTCGCAATATCGGCCTCGAATTCTTGTAGCGATTCCGTTGGTTTCATGTTTCACGTTTCAAACTTTTACCATTTTCTTCCAATTTATTTTCCAAACTTTTGCTGTTTTCTTCCAATTTATTTTCCAAACTTTTACTGTTTTCTTCCAAATTATTATCCAAACTTTTACTATTTTCTTCCAATTTATTTTCTAAACTTTTACTATTGTTCGAATTTTTCTAAACTTTTCATCGTTTGTGACAATTCGTCTTCGAAAAGGAACGTTTCCGCTTTCTTACCGCTTGTCGCTTCATCCCGTTCTTCTAATTCTCTTCTTAACTCGGCGACTTTTAATTCGTACAACTTCTTTGCCATTGTAATGTCTTTTACTCAACCCCACACCTGACACCAGTTGTTATGTTGGTGGGTTTAACAAAATTAACTTAAGACTAATAACGACAAAAACTATTTATTTACACTAATTATTAAAGAACTTAACTTACTTAAACTAACTTAAAACACTATTCACTGCGCTATTTGCTTCACTACTATCACTGTCAATTTAGTTCTGGATTCACTTATGCAACAGTCAATTTATTTCTACTCCCTCTCAGCGATCGTCTCTTCCTTCAAATACTCTTTTGTTTCATTTCGGGAATCTTCTTGAAACGTCTGGAAAAGTTTCTTTTTCTTTGAACTGTTTAACTGCTTTCCCAGAACGCAGGTACGACACACACATTTACAAATACGGCGCACATGAAGAAAGGCGCCCGCGGCTAGTCGGCGAATCGATAAGCCGTTCACGCACACGTGTGCCCGATCGCACACAAACACACTCGTGCTCGCTACA